AGGGATGGTCGGAGAAAGACTACTCCAAGAGAAACATCAAAGCGTGCTTTTTTGTTATCCTCAGAACTCATACGTATATAAGGGATATAAGGGAGAGGGAGAACAAATTTTTTTTTTTCTAATGATTTACAATATTTAAAATTCCTAACAGTAAATAAAATTTCACAATTTTACTAAAAGTGTATTTTTTTTTTTTCAAAATAATGAGGTCACTTGCGCATAAAATTTATCACACCTAAAATTCATGATAATAAGCAGAAGTAATTATTTCATTTCATTTTTAAAAAGAACGTATTATTTTTCAAGATAATGAAGTCACTTACCTAAAATATTTGAGAGGGAGCTTCCGATAAAAATTCGACTAGAGAGAGGAGCTCACTGTGTTCGTAAGAGGGAGAGCGAGAGTGGAGTTCTGTAAGGCGATGCCCTACCCTTCACCCTATTTAAATCTTTTTAAAACGCCTCCACCTCATGTATGAGGTGTAGCGTAAATGTCCGCCGTTAACACATGAAACCACTAAAGGACGTGGCAATGCAACAAAGCTTAAACCAAATGAAGGTAAAAGCTTTTGAAAGTAGTGATGATCTCTAAAGACCATCATGCTCATATGAACCATCACTTATTGTAAAATTTTTTTTTTTTTTTTTTAATTTTTAGGATTATTACAATAACGCTGCTATTTCCATGATATAAAACATAGGGACGAATTTTGCCTTGTTGCTGTTACTCCTCTGGTTAGTAATCCAATTTGGAGTCATGATAATCTTAAGGTATATTTCCCTAATACATTTTTGGAGTGACCACATCTCTGAAATTGAGCTTCAGGATAATCATCCTCTTGTTCAATTTCACTACTTTGAGGATTAGTCCTCCATGTTTTTACATTGGTCATTAAAAAGGGGCTACCATATGGTCCTCCATGTTTTTACATAGGTCATTAAAAAGGGGCTACCATATGGCTGCTTTCGTGTTATCTTTTTCTTGTTAGGACCATCGATGTGGCATGTGCATTTCCAGCATCGACAGTTGGGCGCATTTTCAACAAACCCTCGCCCAATCCAGATACCTCGCAGGAGAAGGTAGCTGGATTAATGCATCAGCCACAAAAACACGATGGTAAAATGATCTGAAGACCCTAGGTGGAAGTCGATGTCGCAATGGGCAACAATCCTCTTCGAGTCACTCTCACTTACCACAAGAAACAACAGCAAATCGATGTTCTCGCAAACGAAATGGATGGGCTCCCATATGACAACAGATCCTTCAGCTCACCGCCTAAAAATGGAAGTTTTAGGTTGGGTATTTCCTTACCCAATATCCCAAGATTCGAGCCTCTTACTATTCAGATACCCCGCTCATCGTGAAAGAGTCATATTTCATGAGCAAAGGTCAGCAGTTAGGTCTCATTTCGAGCCTAACATGCCTGGATCCATATCTAGTGCTCAAAGGCCAGAGGCCAAGGCTCCTTTTAAGCCTAACATACCTGGACCCATGTCATGCGTTCATAAGCTGACGATCAGGTCTCATTTTGAACCTAACCTATCGGGGCCCATGACTCTCACTCACTCACAAAGATCGCATATGAGAACTGCCCTCAAGAAGGCACAAGGAGCCCTCAACCAACGTGTTGTTTCTAAAGAACGGGAAGCTGTTCGACTGAATGACACTTTTATGGAAAAAATTTGGACTGGATTTGCAAATTCGGAACCCATAATGGCTTCTGAGGAAGTCAGACATCACATGGGAGATGGTCTCCATGAAATATGCCCATGCAAGATGATAAGGACCACCAAATAAACACAACGAAAAGAAAGGCAGGAGACATTGAGAGGACAAAGTCGCGTTAAACTTTGAAAACATGTTGTCTCTCTCGTCTAATGGCAGACCTCGAACTGTCAAACCTTTAAGGAAGAAAGGGAGCAACAAACAACGTCGAGTTAATACCAAATCTTAATACATCACCCGGAGCGTGACTAAAGCTCAGAAGACCTGGACCGCCCGTAGATGCTCACATGGTAACATTTGAACCAATGGAGATGGCTTCACAAGCGTTAGATAACGAATCATCTGAAACCCCACTGAAATATCCCACAGGACATATGATGATAGCCGGAGGGGCAGATGATCCCCCAACGAAAAGAAAATAAATGGTGCATTTAAGGGTGTAGACACCGGTTCTCGATTGAGGAATCCACGGTGGACTAAAATGTTCCGGGCAAACCACCCTAATACTTGAGCCATTCACACTCACTTTAACCCATCCACAAACTTGAAATATGTTAGAACAATGATCAAGATTATCAAACAGAAGAGCGACGTGGAAGAAGAAGCATCTGTCGCCACTCACAGTGGCACTGGAGCAATTCCGAACTGCGACGACAAGGCAACCAGAAGACAACAACCAGAGAACAACTTGAAAGGAGAGTGAAGGGCCCAGTGCCACTACTAGTGGTGCCGACGCCCCTTGGATTTCCACCTGATCAGTTTGCCTAAAAATGACGGCGGTCTGCATAAGTGACATAAAGCCGAGTAATGATATTTGTCAGTACGGACTGACACATGCTAGGACGGATTGACGTGCCCTCTGACAACGGTATGAGCATACGTGTCGACTTTTGGGTGAACTAGGAAGTGTCCCATCAATTGTCGAAAGTATGATGCATCAGAGTAACTGTCAGAAGCCATCGTCATTCAGAAAGGCACCGAAGGATATCCAAGTAGCGACCCACCTTGATTAGAAGCATCAGAGTATGACACGAGACACTTTTATATATGGAGCAGTTCGAAGTGGTGATACAATGGCGTCAGACCTCGAACATTGCCCACAATGTTGTACCTGATCCAGCCATGTGATAAGAAAGCAATTAAGGCATCATTTATTACCAGGCAATTAATGCTAATTTAGGCAAACCCGGTACTAGTGCCAGTGGCACAGGAGACATTAAAACTAGTGCCCAGAGATGGATGATCAAGATTGCCCCCATAAACTATCTAATGGCTATCTTGAGCCCAATTTGGCCATAAATAAGATACTTGACCTTAGGTTAAGAATGTGATTTTCGCATACCAAGTGCGAAAGCTCTACTTGAGTAAACTTAGAATCAAATCTAAACCTCTACCTAAGCTTCTAAACTCGAACTTTTAACCTATTCGACAACATTTTTATCTTGAAGGCGAGCCTTATAATTAGACCTTCAAGGTCCTCTTCCTCTTACATTCAATTGCCCCGTCTAAACTTGAAAGATTGGGATTGACCGTGCAACCACTTAATATGAATCGGCATTAACTTTGGGTGTTGGGCCTAAGGGCTCGACCTAAGGTCCTACATTTATTTTCTCTTTAATTGCGTGCATGTTATCTATGTTTTCTTCTATTTTCCATCAATGAGCATTTATCAAATGCAACTTTATCACCATGCCCACAAGTCACTTCCAAATTTTCTACAATTACACAAGTGCCCTTCAAACCCTAATTTTAAATTTAAATAAATCATAACCATTGATTTTGAAAACAAACAATCTTAATCATCAAATTCAAATTTTAAAATTCAAGCTGAAATGAGAGGGGCATGCCACCCTTTTTCTCCATCCCTTTCACCCATACTTGCACTCCACTTCATCTTATGAAGTGTCATTTTCAAATGGGATATTACATCATCTTATGTCCTGATGTATTACCTTGTCCTCTCACCTCCAATCACATGCTTATATATATAAAAATCGATTAAGCCTCAAATCATAAAATTTTTAGATTAAAGTTTTTGGAAATTCAAAATCCTACATTCACACATATGTGTACACACATGCCACCACATATGTGGTCTACACATGTGCCACAAAATATTACACATATCATGTTTATATGCACTAACCAAACAAGACCTTCACACCAAAGATCATAAGGCCATCTACATCATGCCCATAGGGCAATGATGTGGTACTCCAGTGGTTGAACATGTGGCTCACATTGGTTACTTGTATGTCACATGCCACACATGGGACTATCCTTATTTGAATTTACCATATAATAAATTTAATAAATCATTTTTCTAAAATAAAATTTCCAATTTTTTTTATAAATTATGATAAATTATTTTTAATCATTTTTCATCAACATATCACAATCTAGCACTTTACACAAATCCAGTTTGGGATATTAGGATCCTACAAGAGGTCTGGCTACATGGCACTCCATTGAGCTAGATACAGAAACCCAAAGTACTGTCTTAGACCAACCCAACGGGCCCCTATGTGTCACACGCTTAAGTCAGGACGTGATTAGACCTATCAAAGTTAACTGATAGGTGGTTGGATTCTCAAGTGTTTAGTGAATCACAGGTGCCCCCCGAGGACATGCACTCTTGTGGATGCGAGGGTCCTCTCTCAACACACATACAGTTCTGATAGGCGGATCATACCTCATCATAATGGCTTCCCAAATTGCGATTGTCCCATGCACACATTGTGAACAAGCTACACATGTCAGGGATTTGGGCTTATGTTCTCTCATAGCCCAATTCAGCTCACACATGGCTTCTCACAAAGAAAATATCTCAAACAAACCGGGATCCACTGATCCCTAAGCCCTTGACTCATACCACATGAGGCACACACATACCAACTCTGATTAGAAGAAACTATCAAACCTCTCAGTTCATGACATGACTCAAGAACCTTGCCTCATGCAATCAGGTTTTTCATCAGCCGATCCAGATCACAATGCGCAAAGACAGCATCTACATTCATGGTCCTCCCTCTATGGCCCAAAATTGTATTGGGAACACACAAGGCCTTGAAAGGCCATAATTCCAAAATTAAGTCTTCTACAACCCATATCCCTAATACAGTTATAGCTGGGGCTCTGTTCGAGGGTGCAAATGCACATTTTGATCCCCTAGATTTCACCGAGGGTTCAAAATACACTGTGATCTCGCGGGAGCATATATTCCTCTTGCCCAGCAGATTTGATCCGTTTGTTCAGCGGCAGAGTGAACTTCAGTTGCAGTTTCAAACACAAAGCCCTAATTTTTCGAACCACTGTGAATTCCCATGGAAAATGGAGACGATTGGCTTGCTCTTGATAAAGCTTACCATTTCCTCTTCTGCTTCTTTATCGTAGTTTTTGTCTCGCAAATGGCTAAATTTAGCAGAAACCCTCTAGTAAGAAGAAGGGGCATTTGGCTTGGATCACTGCTATCTTTAGTTGCAGGAGCTGCAAAGGAAATTGGAGATGAAATGGGTTATTGGCATTCAGCAGGAGGTTCTCTAAAAGATGGAGTTGCAGATATTGCAGGCGTTTTATTGGCTTCTTCTTCTCTTTTCCTCTTGGAATCGATGCGAAAACCAATGGGTTTGGGCCAAAATCAAGGCGTTTTGATGGTCTAGTTTTTGGTGCAACAGGCGTTGTTAAATCTATCTGGAGTTGTTTGAGAAAGCGAGATTCAATACCCAAATGAGGGACAGTTTTGGTGGTATATTTGTGTCTGCGAAGTGTTTGGCTAAATTTAACGGAGAAAAGTTGAATTGGAATATCACAGCTACTGGTTCTGTCACCTGAGTTATTGCTTGCCTACACCAATGAAACTAAGAAACCTCTTTTCTCTAGTTATTGTCGAATCGACGAAAAAAACAAGGGAATTAGCCCAAAATCAAGGAGTATTGATGGGGTAATTGCTGGTGCAAAATTTCGTTCTAGACTTATAAGTATTTGTGCTGGGTCAATTATCTGGAAATCGTTCAGGAACAGAGATTTCATAGCTACTGGATCTGACATTCGGTAAGTTTGGGGTTAACCCCTCTCTCTCTCTCTCATATGTTGTCATTTATTTTAGGAAATGTATAGAAGACTGTTTACTTTTGGTATAATGAGTTCATAATTGCTGCATTAGATGTTAAATGTAGTAATTGGAAATGTGTCATTGATTAGGCACAAAGTCCAAAATAAAATTTTCAAACTATTATAACATACTTCAATCTATTAAATTTCACATCTAATGGTTAAGAGTGATTATTACTTCCATACACTAAAAGTGAATGGTGTTATTGTACACAATCTCTTGATTTTGTTGTTTCATGCCTTCGATTTGGCTTTGCATATTTTCTTTTGCCTATTTGACCTTTTAGTTTTCATTTATCTTTTTAGATTTAGTTTTCAATGATCTTTAATGCAGTATGTGTGTAATTATTTGATCGAAAACCATTTTAACCAGAAAGATGATAGATTTGCAGAGAATAAAAGAGCAACAAGAAATGTGTTTTTTGAAGTGAATTGACCCAACAATCCAAAGACATTATTCAGAGAAACCATGGCTTAAGGATGAGATAGTAATTGAACAACATAATACTAATGTATTTTTGGCTAGACAATATGATAATAATGTATACATATTTCTTAGCTACATTTATCGATAAGTGGATGGAGAGATACTCGGATTTATGATCCATTTTACTAGTACTTAAAAAGCAATCATTGCTTCATGTGGGTGATGTCACATCTCATGTAGATGATGTTATCCTCAACCATAGTTAATAAATGCTTATTTTTCTTTTAAGAATTTTTACTTTACCCCTTATTAATTACCTATAATACCCTAGACAAAAAAGTTACTATATGGTGTGTTAAGAGTCTCAAGGGTCCATTAATGTTGAGTACCTTAAGAAAATACTCATATGTATGAGTACCCTAACATAAACCATATATTATATATATATTATACATTAATGTATATGTGGTTGGAAGTAGTTCGGAAAGATATGGGAACTTATGGCCTCACTGAGGATATGGCCTTGAATAGAACAAAATAGCGGACCAAGATTCGTATAACTCCAATTAATTAGGAAAAAGCTATGATGATGATGATACTTGTATGTATACACACACAAACACACATACATGTATGTATGTATATATGCTAAAATTCATAATTATTAATCTCTTAAAACTCTATCTGTTTGTCAGGAATGGCTTGTCTCTTTCTATCTCCCTCTCTCAAGCCATCTATATATATACATACACTCAAATCAACCACTATTGCTCGTTGTTGACATTTTCTTGTACTAAATTGGCACTATAAAAGTGATTAAAAAAAATCTAATATTCCTTGAAAAATATGGTAGACAGAAAAAAAAGGTAAAATGAGAATCTACATTTAGGGATAAACAAACAAACAAAATTATAATAAACCATATGTTATGTAGTTTGAAAGTGGGGGGAGGGGGGAGGAGATCATGTCACTAATGATTCTATCATAATCCACATCTACTCATAAAGTATTACCCTCCTCAAAATTCTCAATAATCTTCCCATGTTTCATTTACAATTCTATCTTGCAAATTGCTAGCAGCTTGCCACACTGCTCTCATAGCTTCATTTCCCAAGGAGTTGGAGTCATCTCTTAAAGGGTTGCTTTTCCATCTCTTTGTCATATTCTTTTTATGACTAGTTGCCTCCACCTATGTCAATTCAGATCAAGTCATGTAGGGTGCAGAATGCCATGACTAACATGACTTGTGTTTCTAATGGATACAAAACAAGTTTTTTGGGTGTAGAAAAATGCTTCTTTAACACCCCAATTGTTCCCCTGATAGCAATGCATATATAATAATGTCGAGGATTGAATAGCTCCATTGCATTTTAAGGAGCTAGGGAACTACTACCAAGTTCCATCAAATGATAATGAACACCTCTATATAGAGCAGTAAGACCTAAGACATTCGAATGTCCAATGTCCGCGAGGAGTATTTTCCCTTATTGAAAAATTAGAATCGAAATCCATTTGGTTGATATCAATAGATGCGTATTTAATGTGGAAGCATAAAAATTAGTCTCCAATGTTATGTATAACCATTGAATCTGTTGCCGATCCCTCCCAACTTGTGCGAACATCCAAGAATCATAGGTCAAAATTACACATTGTTCTTACCATTCATCAAAGTAAGGATATGTCTGCCATCAATGGCACCAATGCAATCCTTCCAAAGAGATAAGTCCCCTTTTTAGATTGCAATTAAGATTACTGCATTTAATGTCATATATCAGATAAATTTGGAAATTAGTTTTTTGTCGTAATGTTGGGGTAAAATATGAATGATTAAGAATTTCTAGAGAGTTATTACTAAGTAGGAGACGAACGTAGTGACGCAAGAGTTCACCAATTCATTAGGAACCTTTGTGAAGTATTACTATTGTTTGGCCAGAATGTACGAAATGCTCTTGAACATTATAGTTGCCTGCACCACATCCACCATTGTGTAACAATCTAACAGCTTGCTCTTCAATATTGTTAATATAATCATCTTTAAGGAACCTAGAATATGTATGATATCACATATATAAAAAATTCAGTCATCATAGTTAAAGTTGTTCGCTACGCCATATTCACATCCCTTAATTGATAACCTTTAAACGCTATCCAACAGCTCTAGGAGATGAGTCATGACATCGCCTTATATTCCTTTAAAGCATATAATATCCTGCTATGGTAGTAATATGATGAGTTAAAGAAGAATCTACTTATTAGGAACTCCCTGGTCACTATTGCTATTGGAGCAAGATATAATGAGCTCTACTTGAATAAACGGTCATGCCCTGACTCATCTTTTAGAGTTCTCGGTGCCTTAAGGAGTTATCAATCATAGGGAACCAAGTACAATGTCATAAACAATTTTGACAGGAGCAACCAATTCTTTTAAAATTGTTAATTGTATTATGTATAAGATAAAGGGGTTACAAGGGGTATCTAGATACAAGAAAAGGCTACCCTTAGTTGGGTTCCGTATACAAAAACGCAGAAGGGGCCCAAAAAATCCTAACAATCTATACAATTGGTGATTGTGTTCTTTTCTATTATGAATAGCAATTGTATGACCAATCATTGTGGGTATAATGGTAGATGCTTGAGACCAAGTTACTATAATTTTAGGGGGTTGGTAACCAAAAAAATGGATAGGCGACCCTGCTATGGGATTGTTTAAAGCAGCCTTCCTAGCTAATAGGTCAGCTTCAGCATTGGCTTCCCTCCAAATGTCTAACCAGGATACCGAGAGAGAGCCGTTGATATCCAAATTTCGTCGAAAATATGAGCCAAGCACCATGGGCAAGAACATTGAGAAGTAGCCCACACGACCGTGTTCTTTGAATCCCCTTCAACCTGAAGGACATGGCCCCAATTAGGATCGAACTTTCTGAGTCCCATGAGGAGAGCAAGGCCCTCGGCTAGAGTAGAGTCTGCATGTTTGATGGGGGTGGAGAAGGAGAGGAGAGTGTGCTGGTGTGGGATTTGAAAATGCGACCAACTCCTGAGGGGCCAGGGCTGCTGAGAGAGCAACCATCAAAGTTTAATTTGATGTTGCCTACCTCAGGTGGTCTCCACAGTTAGGATCGAGCCTCCTAGTTCTGGGAGAAGTTCGCCTGTGAGAAGTGTTTAAAGAATGGTGGTATGTGGCCCAAAAGGTGACAAGGTCTAGAATCTTGTCAAAGCATCGTTGACCTGAGCATCTTCCCGCCTAAAAGTTCTATTGTTGCGTTCTAACCAGGTGACCCAAACTAAGGCTGCTAGGGCTGCTCTTCAAAGTGCGAGACCAGATTTAGATCAAGGGGAATTGAGAGATGTGGAGAAGAGGTGAGGTATTGATGCAAGGGGAACCCAAGTCCAATCAAAGAGGGCAACAAATTAGACTAAAGGGAGGTGACAAAGTCACAGGATAGAAAAAGATGGTTATTGGTTCCTCGGCTGTGGTGCACATGACACACCTATTGGGTAATGGAATGCCTCTAACTTGGATTTGGTCAATGGTGAGGGATAAGACGAGCCATAGGAAGGCCTGAATTTGGGAGGCGTGAAGGGGAACTAGGCTTTAGTCGTGATAGAGGGGTGCTGGTAGGGAGAGTATATATACATGTCCTAAAGCATGTCAATATATTCAAGATATTGCCTTGGAGACATCAGTTTTATGATCTGAGGCATTGGTGACAAAAACTTTTGTTATATTTATTTTCTGGATATAGAGAAAGAGAGTAACAAACCTAAGTTACTTATACATCACTCCTTTACAGGGAGAGAGAAACCTACTGTAAAGAAAGAAGGAAAGAAGGCTTCAACAGGATTCCAAAACTTATGCTACAAGAAAATATGGATAGAGAGAAAGATTTTACTAAAACCAAGAAACGAGAGAAAAATTTTTAGAGATAGTGAGAAAGAATCCTGTTGAATAGAAACATCCCATTTCTACTATGGGAGCATCCCACCTTCCACCAGAGGAGGGAGGCTAAATTTTTTACGTGACCAGAGGACGCCAAATTTTCCACCAGAGGACGAAGGCTAAATTTTCCACCAAAGGAGGGAGAGGGAACCTTCCCGTGCCAATATTTTGATGGAGAAACGCTAACCTTCCTGTCCCAATATTTTGATGAAGAAACACTAACCCGCAAGTTAGCGTTTTTCCAAATTTTCTAAAATTCAAGTCAGACCTGTTTTTTTTGGATTCCATTTTTGGGGTGATATTCAAATATTATATAATCTATTTTGATGTTATCAAACACCTCTTTGATCAAATCAAATTAGGAAACTTCAAGATCTTGTNATATATATATATA